CGGTGCTGTCTATTTTTCAAAATTCAGCTTTGATTTGTCCCAAACAAACTGTTGAAGGTGTAAAATGGCCATGAAAGAGTCAACTTCATCTTCTGGGGCTATGATTATGATTATGGCTACCAACTTTACGTTGTGGAAACGTCGGATGGAAGATTTCCTCAGCTGTAAAGAGCTCTTTGACCCAATAGAGCTGAAGGGTATTAACCCTGATCCGTCCAAGGCATTAGAATGGAAGAAAATCAATAGAAAAACTATTGGTCAAATCCGACAATGGATAGTTCATAGTGTCTTCCATCATGTTGCACAAGAAACCGACGCATATGTCCTTAGGAGAAAGCTGAAGAACATGTACCAGGCCAAGACCGCTCGGAATAAGGCCTTATTGGTGAGGTGCTTAGTCAATATAAAGTTGAAAAGTGGAACTTCTATTGCCGAGCATACCAGTGAGTTCCAGAGCCTGGTAAATCAACTATCTGTGTGGAGATGCCGCTTGGAGATGAAATGCGATCTCTGCTACTTCTTAGTTCCATTCCTGATAGCCGGGAAGCACTCATTGTTATTCTCAGTAATTCAGCCTCAAACGGCAAACTTTCCATGTTCATTGTCAAGGATGCCTTATTCAATGAAGAGGCAAGAAAGAAAGACATGAGCACAGATGAGACTCATGCCCTTGTAATGGAGAATCGAGGAAGACCACAATGCAAGCAACAAAGAAGTAGTAGAGGGAAGAGCAGGGGTAGAAGCAAGGAGAGGCAATCAGATGATCGGAGATCACATGTGTGCTATCAATGTGGTCTAAAAGGTCATATGAAGAAGAATTGCTATAAATGGCTCGAGGAGCAAGGCAAGAGCAATTCTCAGCCGAAGAATAGTTCTTAGCAGAAGAAACAGGGCAAGGGTGGTGAAGCTCTCATCCCTGTCCCAGGTGATGTAGCATATTGCTCTAACCATGGTGAAACGTGCCTTCATGTCTCAAGAGAAGACATTTAATGGGTGGTAGATACTGCAGCATCCTATCACATTACTCCCAACAGGAAGTATTTCACAACATAGAAAGCTGGAGACTTTGGATTGGTGAAGATGGGAAATTCTAGTTCTTCTAAAATTGCCGGAATTGGTGACATCCAGGCAACGACAGAACCGAGAGTACAATCCTGTTGAAGGATGTCAGACATGTGCCAGATCTTAAGTTGAATCTTTTGTCAGTGGTGGCTCTTGACAAAGAAGGATATGAAAATCACTTTGGTGCAGGCACATGGAAGTTGTCAAAGAGTGTTCTGAAAATTGCCCGAGGACATGTTTGTAGGACGCTGTACAAAACACATTTGAAGATTAGTACAAAAAGTCTCAATGTTGCAGAGGAGGCTTCTCAGGATCTATGGCACCAAAGACTTGGTCATATGAGTGAGAAAGGGTTGACTACCCTGATGAAAAAGGATCTTATCAAGGATAAGAGTGTATCGATGGGCTCTTGCAGTCATTGCCTTTTTGGCAAGCAGCATAGAGTCTCATTCAATACCAGTTCAACAAAGAGATCAGAGTTGTTAAGCTTGGTACACTCTGATGTTTTCGGTCCATGAAGGTTGAATCACTGGGTGGAAGCAGATATTTTCTGACCTTCATTGATGATGCTTCTACAAAGGTGTGGGTATATTTCCTGAAAACGAAGGACCAGGTGTTTGAGTACTTCAAGGAATTTCACGTCATGGTGGAACGTGAAACATGAAAGAAGCTGAAATGTCTCCGAACTGATAATGGAGGCGAGCATACTTCCAAGGAGTTCAATGCATATGCAGGACATATGGCATTTGACATGAGAAGTCAGTACTACGTACCCCTCTGCACAACGGCGCTGCTGAAAGAATGAATCGGACTATCATGGTGCGTGTCCGAAGCATGATGAATATGGTTAAATTACCAAAGTCATTTTGGGGAGAAGCTGTCAAGATCGCATGTTATCTAAACAATCAATCACTTTCAGTTCCATTAAATTTTGAAATTTCAGAGAAAATATGGACTGGAAAGGATCGGACATACTCACATCTCACAGTATTTGATTGTGTAGCGTATGCACATGTATTCTAAGAGCTTAGAAAGAAGCTCGATGCGAGGTTAATCCCATGCATTTTCATTGGTTATGGAGATGAAGAGTTTGGATACACATTTTTGGATCCAAATGAGAAAAAGGTAATCAGAAGTAGGGACGTTGTGTTCCAAAATAAATTGACAATAGAAGATAGGGAAATTTTCAGGTGTGCTATGTGATTTTAACTTATTTACAACACTACCATATCTATATTAATAATTATATCTTTACCTAAAATACTTTATTTATTTATATTAATGCCTAAATCATTTACTATATCATTTCAACCTCTATCCCCCTTTTTATGGGATTGATTAGGAGAGAGAAATGAAAATATGCTTATAACTATTTTAATTCCTTAATTCGCGCACTTGTACGATTTTAATAGAGAAAGAGATAAAAATATATATTGTAATTCACGCAGCTGTCCAGTGGGTATATGTTGGGTTTATGTTGGTATATATTCAGTATGTTGCTATGAAAAACATATCTTCCATAAAAATTATGTCTTTTTTTTTTTTACTTTTATACATAAAAATATATATATAGTTTATAAACATATTATAAGAAATTACAAAAAGAAATCTTCTAATATACTGAACATATATTCTCTATACACACAACATATACCGAACAATTTACGAAAAGATCTAATATACTCAACATATACTCCTATACACACTACATATACTCTTGTCTATATATGCAACATCCAACATATATTGTCGTAACACATACTGTACATATACTGTAGATATACTATACATATACTCCAAAATAAATCAAATGAAAAAAATTCAAAAAAGCCGTTATGATTTTCTTCTTCTTCATGGTCTCGGATGTTTTGACCTTGCTCAGCCTCTACCTCTTCTTCTTCACTAATTTAAATTTCAAACTTGAACTAATGAACATCTACGACACATGCAGTCATCGCCGAGGATCTCCAACTTGAACTAATTAACATCTACAAAAAAAATGAATACCAAAACAACACCAAGTTATTCGTCAAAATGGATTCAAGGACACCAAGTTTTCGTAAAAAATGAATATTCCAAAATTCATAAACAAATAATCAATCGAAAAAAAATCTCATTTTTCGTCTCATATCAAATTCCACTAAACATAAACTACACATAAACATAAAATAAACATTGAAACAATTCGATCAAAACTCTTCAAATGTCGCTCGTGAGAAAGGCAGGAGGAGGCGGCGTGGGGACTGACTGGGGCAAGGCGATGCTTGTATGGCACGTGGGGGCTGGCCAAGTGTTGGTTGTTGACCT